AAAGACCCTGATGTTGGGAAAGATTGAGGGCAGGAGGAGAAGGGGACGACAGAGGATGAGATGGTTGGATGGCATCACTGACTCAATGGACATGGGTTTGGGTGGACTCGGTGTTGGTGGTGGACAGGGAGGCCTGGCGTACTGTGGTTCATGGGGTTGCAAAGAGTCAGACACAACTGAGTGACTGAACTGAACTGATGGTAAATTGTTATTTAACTTTTAAGAAACTACCAAAATATTTTGCCTAGTGGCTGTACCTATTTTCCTACCAGGAGTGAAGATTCTACTTTCACTTTTCTTGCCAACTTTTCTTCTTGTCTTTTTTTATAATAGCCATCTGGAAGCTGTGAAATGGTACTTCATTGTGCTTTGATATGTGTTTCCAAATGAGTAATGGTGTTGGACATCTTTTCATGTTTTGTATGGTTATTTGCTGAAATATCTATTAAAATATTTTGTCTATTTTTTCATTGGCTTGTTTTCTTGTTATCAGATTGTAAGAGTTCTTTGTATGTTCTAGGTACAAGTCTTTTATTTGAAATATGATTTGCAAATATTTTCTCCCAGCCTGAGGCATATCTTTTCATTTTCATAATTGCGTCTTTTTGAAGAATGAAAGTTGTTATTTTCAGTGGAATACAATTTAATCAATGTTCTCTTTTATGGTTTGTGCTTTTGGTAATGTATCTAAGAACTCTGCTTAACCAAAGGTCACAAAGATTTTTTCCAGTAGTTTGTTCTAAAGGTTTTAGAGTTTTAGCTCTTAAATTTAAGTCAGTGATCAATTTTAACTTTTGTGAATGATGTAAAGTAAGGATCTAAATTCATCTTGTTTTCATGTTCAACTGTTCTTTATAAAGGACTTTACCAATATTCCAGCTACTTTTACCACTGCTTATTTACCCTTAAAATCCTCATCTTTATACCTACATATATGTTGTTAAACACCAGGTCCTCAATTTCCCCAATACTATTCTAAATCCTCAATATTCTGCTTAAAATTCTTTGTGCTACTTGTCTCTCAACATCTATGTGTCTTGACTTATATATATATACTTATATATACTCATGAAGAGAATTAAAAGTTATCAATATAGGCATATTTCCTGTGACTCAAATGATACTTAAGTTTCAGAGCCCCCTCTTCCAAGCTTCTGGTAGTGCCCCTGGCAAAAGTAGGATGGTTTTAAATTGTAGGATTAATTTAAATTATAAAAAACTCTGTCTCTGCGTTATGATTTCCCTTATCTTACTTTAGGATAGTCATTGGCATTTGGGGGATCTGAAAGGGAAAGTCAAGTTGGGAATATACATTGTAATTGCCATTTAGAAAGACATTTTAGACTGCTTTAATTACATAAGCAAGACATTGAAGATTAAAAATTAGGATGTATATGAGTTTTTTTAATTAATTAAATAAAAGCAATGCAGATGAACAATTTAAACAATAGAAATTATTCTGTCATGAAGAAACAATTTTAACTTCTTTTTAGATTACATAATAAGAGGTACATTTTCAATAAAATTTCTTGGATTATTTTGTAATCCATTTAATGAAGAGGAGTTCAAAATGTGAATACATTGGGGGGAAAGATTTGTTTCTTGCTGATTTGACAAAAGCTGTTAACATTACTGAATATAGCATAGAATCATGGTATACTATTTCAGGACATCTGAGATAAACTGGTTCATGAGTTTCATCATTTCAAAGATAATTTAAGATGTCATTTTCTGATAAAACTTGAATTCCAAAAATTTATCATATATGAAAGATTTTAATAAGGATTTTTCCAAATTTGACAATACTTAATATTTAAATGATATTACAAATAATGGACTATAAAGCTAAAAGAATCTTTCTAAATTACCACTGATAATAAAACTAATGGCCATGCTAGATGAAAAGCTGTATAATTTTTATATTCTCCCTGCATAAAGTATTATTATACAGTAGTTCTCATATGAAAAGGTGCTTGTGAAGCATGTAGCCAAAAATTGTAGGCAAAAAGTATTGTAGAGCTGTTACTTAAAAGTTATATCATTTTTCAGTATTTTGT